ATGAAATCTCGAGGTTCTGCCTGCACGTCATCTATCACCGGATACGTATCTTCATCTGAAGAGTCTGTGAACAACACTATCTCTCAATTGGGTGTACTGGCGTGGCAGTGGGACTCAACGCGCACCAAATGGGTCGGCCATTAACTTCATAGGCTGTGGATTCTCCGACAAACGCCGCTTGCTGTATGGCAATCTGGCACGTTATCGTATGGCGCAAAGCGATGTCACATCTTGTCAGGCTATGGTTCGTCATCTGCTCCCAATGGTGAGGTACAAGCGGTACTGCACCGTCTCATGCGCATACACATGCGTACCCTTCCGATATCGCGAATGGAGCTTCTCCCGCTTGTCGCTCCGTGCTTTCGACGAATGAATGCCATCCCGAGAGGATTCTCATACCTGTCATGATCATCTACTTCGCGAGATGAAGTCTCAAACCCCTTGTGCAAGTACATGCCCCTATTGACTTAGGTACCCCCAGGGGTGTCGTGTGAGGCACGTGAGGCGGTGGTACTACGTACGATGTCGGCCACCGGATAGTGATCCTTGTCGCTGTGGCCTCACGGACGCGGTTATTACATTCCATACCAATATCAGATTGTTCCGCTTGTCGTTGTAAGGTTCATAGGGAAGCAATATCAGTATGATGCGCGCCTTAATGAAGCCTGTAGCACATGTAGCTGACGCCGTATCGGTTGAATTGTGCCATACAGGAAGCGGCTCTGAACAGTGAGGGAGACCCAGCCCATACCCAAGCAGTGAAGATGCATCTCGCCACTCCTGTCAATTCCCGTCACCATAAGACAAAGCAGTGTAAGAACGACGCCCTACGAAAGATACATACATCGATACGGAACGAAGGCGCGTGAGGCAAGATATGGTATACGAGCAACATTCGAAACCCAACGGGACGTCATCAAGAAGAGACCATGGCAACTTCCGGTACTACAGCAGGCTCTGAGACCTCCTCCTCCTTGGTCTGCGCACTGACTTGCTCGTCGTCTGACTTTTCGACTGGCGGAGCCCAGTCCTTGTCGAGTTTGGAGTGAAGCGGCAATCCTTCCATGATCAATGACGCGAGGAAACCGATGCCGGCAATGCCCAGAAACACCTGCCACACGACCTGTAGGCTCTCAGCAAAGGCGTCCTGAACACCCTGCTTGAGCGGTTGCGGCAGTCCGGGTACTTGTGGGATGATGGCATATGCAATCGCAGCACCCTGCGGAAAGTTTTCGAGGAACTGAGCGGGGATTCGGCCCGTAAGCTCGTTCTGTAACACCGCAGCACCGATGGTGATCCCCCATACCTACGCGAAGAGTGTGTGAGCATCAAACCACGCGCATCGCTGCTTCAAGCAGACGTACGCCGGCGAATGATCGAAGAAATTGTAAGAATGCGAGTGCCGGGGCATTCTGCGTGACTGGCAGCGGCGCCTGTATCGGAAATACCGTCGTGGAGTACTCAAACCTGCATGATGATTGAATACAGCGTTGACATTGACCCGAGGGGACCGTACGTACCCTATGCCGACTCCAGTCAGAACACCAAACCCAACAGCACGTCCGACATTGTTCTCAGCCTCCAAGGTGGTATGCAGACCAAGGCCGATGAGTATAAGGCACCATCCGGCCCACATCTGCGGGCGATAGCGTTGCAATCGGTTCACCAGCGCGCCGGCAATCAAGGCCGAGGGAGCGAGAGAAGCGAAGCCTAGGGTCAGTACACCAGACCTGATTGGCGACGCATCCTTACACCCTTGGTAGAATATAGGCATATAATCTACAAGATGAGACTAATTGTGAGCAGCATGGTCTTCGAGCTTTGAGATTACGTACAAACTACGCCCAGTGCAACAATCCCCACAAAGAATGTCTGGAGATATCTGAGGCAAGTTAGCACCTTTGAAGAGCGATGTCTGACGAGGGTCGATCATACCCGCTGAGGCTGGTACGGTTTGACATGAGCGAAAGTGGCGCCTATGCGGTCGAGATGTGTAAGGAAATATGTAAGAAAGACAGGAAGGATGTTTACCAGAGGGTAAGTGGCGAAGACGGCCTCCCAGGCCAAGAATAAAGCCAATAGAGCGATACCCAGGATGAGCGGGACAAGGACCTGAGCCGATTTCCAAGGTGCTGTTACCCCTCCCCATGTGAGGGCGATTGTCACCGCCGTGGTCCCGGAAACTATGAGGGCGTTACCACTTGCGAATGTCAGAGACGAGCTTGAACAAAGACTGAGCGATGGCGTACGTCCAGTCCAGGCGCATGAATTTCTCGGCGAATGTACCCGGAGGAGTCGGCAGGCTCATAAACGCCGCAACAAAAATAGCAGCCACGCCGCAGATGGGGAGGTTGAGATCTCAAAAAGCCATTCAGCTCATTGAGGGACATGGGGGGGTAGCGCATCTACTCACAGAAAAGCCACCTCCACTGCCCTTCATCTGCCAGAGTGCCACCTACTACGGGTCCGATCAAGCCCGCAACCGACCATGTCCTGCAGAACGTGAGTGTTTATGCAACGATAACCCGCAATGGAACCCACTGACAAGCCAAAAAACGACGCGAACAAGCCGCGCTCTCGAAGAGTAACCATATCCGCGAGGACAATGGCGGAGAGAGACTGTATGCCACCGCCACCGATACCTTGGACGGTTCTCCCCGCGATGAGCATGGTCATTGAGCTCGCACCGCCGCAAATGCCGCTACCCAACGCAAAGATAGCAAGGGCGAACAGGAATGCAGGTCGACGACCAAACATCTGGGCCAGTCCTCCGCTCAGAGGAAGAAACGCTGTGGAGGAGAGTGTGTATGCCGAGCCAACCCACACAAAATCCTCCGCGTGAAGATCGTGAGCGATGGTCGGGAGTGCAGTCGATACGGCAGTGAGCTCTAGGGCCGATAGAAAAAGCGCGACACAGATAGACAAAAAGATGCACCAGAACCTAGCACCCCTTTTCGCTTTAGGCCCAGCGTTCCCGGGAGAGGTATCGTCGGCCATTTGCAGAAGAGTGTGGTTCAACGTTGAGGATGTAGACGGATGGCAAGAGCGGTCGGGCCCCGAGTCGTATAAGGGGAGTCTCTCGAACCATTCGACCGCTCGGAGAGTATGAAAACCCCCCAAGCGGCGTTGGCGAATGTTCGCGAAGCGACAGCGGCAGGCGGAACGCACGATGCATGATGACCACGAACGGGAGAAGCAGATGGGCTTGACACCAGCAAGCACCTGGGCTCCCCGCTGTAAACGCGCCTCGAAGTTGGCTGGAACGCGCCGTGAGGTGATTGTAGTGGACTGCGGCGACTCAGGGGTAACTGTAGTAGACAGCTGGCGTTGTTGTCATGCCTGTCATAGGCAGAAAACCCGCGGTGTTGTTCCTCATTATGAACTTCAGAGGCGCCGTCAACGGGGCTTCGCAAGTGCCGATGTAGTTATTCGGAGTCTCCGTGCCTCCGCAATCGGACGATTAGGACAATGTGTGGCAATGCGTATGCGGGCCCGCGCCTAGGAAGTTCACGCACTCACGAACCATCGAGGTTGGTAGCAGACCTGCCGAGAGAGGATGTCCTTCATGTCATCGCGGGCGCCGGGCTGCCAATCATCGTGGCGTGCGTGCGCCGGGCCGCTCGACCACGCGGCGTCAACTTCTCAGCTTCCTGAGTGCTTAGCTTCTCACACCCATCTCCCCCAGTCTGCAGTGATCCTGACCTCCTCGTTGTAGCTCGCATCTTACCAGATATGCTCAGATATCCCCGCAGGTCTGGCGAGCTTTCAATTCACCGAGTCTCGTGTTGCTCTGAGGCGTTCAGCAGGTCACACACGGATGTAGGCGCGAAGCGTCTGCAAGTCAGTAGAACCTATAGTCAGGTTTTGACGGATCGCTTGCGCCCGCGAAGGACGCCTCTATATAGAGGATGTCTTGGACAATAATATCTCCATCTGTCGCGGTATCAGTGTAACGTCTACGCCATGGCAGCCCTCAACGATCTCGGCCCAACCGTACTCACTGCTGGCATCGTGGTCGTCTCTGCACTCCTCCTGTCCATAGCCTACCCTGATCGCTATGTCACTACCCGCTCGCGTCCAGATCTCATCGGTCCCAAAGGCGCGCCCATCGTCGGAAATCTCCTCCAGGTCATACCTCGGCACAGACGGATGCTCGGCTGGTTCAAACAGTTGAATGAGAACTACGGCCCTGTTGCCACTTTCACGCTACCTCCGTGGGGGAGAGGTATCCTGATAAATAGGCCTGAATGGCTTCTGTACGTTAAGCAAGGTCAGCAATCTCTTACAGCGGTCGGGTTTGATCCTGATCCGTAGTCACACAGCGGACATACAGAAATACTCGCGCGGTCCTGTTGCACGGGCCTTATTCAAAGAGTTTCCGGGCGGCAAAACACCAGTCGCATCGGAGGGAGCTGGATGGAGGCTCGCACGCAAGTCAATGTAGTAAGTAGGCGAGCGTCATCTGCCGGGTAATTTTCCTCATGCGTACTGGCAGTCCGATCTTCACAGTCAAGTCATTCACAGAGCATGTGTCGTCTGCAATGAATACGGTAGGTTCTATATCATGACTCTTCAGGATCATACTGCCTACGTTTGACACTACGCAATAGATTGTTCCTACCGCTCGAAGCTTCCTCTTGAACGCCAGTAAGAAGAATATTCCCGTCGATTGGAACGGTCCGTCAGCTATCTTTGGCGCTGTGCCAACCTTGACGCTCACATCTACCAAGATCTGGCAGGCCGAATCGCGCTTTCAATCTTCTCGCATTCGGCATTCACTCACGACACCGGCACTCTGACCTCGGACCCATCTATCCAAGGATCAGATGACCTGAGGAATGCGCTGTTAGCGCTGAATCTAATCTCAGCACGGTAACTTTCTGACCCGCCTCAGTCTTCGCTTGCATTCTTACGATACCTGAACAGCCGACTTTTTAATCCTTTCTGGCAGTGGACCGAATATGTACGTATGCAGATCTCGTCCGCACCATATCGTCGCATTCATCCCGTCCCCACTTGGTAGATCACGGGCGACCGGTTTCGGTTCAATCGCGCGCGCTCGTATATCCGTAACATCGTGCTCCATATGATTGAAGCTCGTCGCGCGGAGATACGAGATGTACCCGCCGGAGAACGACATGCCGACTTTCTCACCGCCCTTCTTGAAGATCCGACCTTCGACGACCCTATACTCATCCGCGATACTCTTGTGACTCTCCTCTTTGCAGGTCGTGATAATACGCAGAATGTTCTCGCATGGGGTCTTCATGCCCTGATGGGTGCGCCGCAGTGGATGGATCGTATGCGTGAAGAGGTCACGCGCAACGGTTCCGGCAATCATGAGCTCCAGTATGCCGACCTGTCCGTGAGTACAATCATCACCTTTGCCAGTACGAATCTCACCTGTAATTCAGCGCTATCCTGTACATCTTGCAGTCTTCTACGAGACGGTCAGATTATGGCCAGGGCTTCCGAAGAATGCGCGCTTAGCTTTGTGCGATGATGTGCTTCCTGCACTCCCTGAACATGGCATTGCCGCGGTCAAGATCGAGAAGGGCGATTATATCTTTTGGTCGGACCACAACATGATGCGTGACGAAGCTGTCTGGGGCCCCAACTCGAACACGTTTGATCCAAGCAGGCACCTCACTCCTGACGGATCCTTCGTCCGACCAGCTCAACCAAGATTCAACGGCTTTGGTGCAGGACCGCGACTCTGGTGCGTTCACCTCTCTTACGTTTCCTGAAGGATGCTTATCTACGACGAAGTCCCGCCGCTCAACTTGCTACATACGAGTTTGTGGCGACCATGGCCGGGATTCTTCCCTTCTTCGATCTCGAGCCCTCGAAAGTTCCGGGTCTTTACGACGAACCATCCATGAACGAAAGTTTCACTTCTTCTCTTGCTGGACCGCTCTGGATCGATATTCGGATGCGAAAGGGGATGGACTGAGAGCAATGAGGTGTTATGTATCGGTTCGTCGTAGTCTGTGTGTATAGTGTACGATAGTTACGTCAGGCTATCGGTAACGAATCTTGAATCGGCTTGAAGGGCCTCGATGTTGTAGTCACTGTTTGGCGCACCATGCAACAAATATGTTAGTTTATATTTACTCAACCACTACACTTTGAACCTGCATCGGGGGAGAAAGTCTCTGGTCTGAACAGCAATTGTATCTCGTCCAGACAGCCGCGGCTTGCGAGGACGGTATCCGCTCGAAGATGCGGCTGCCTTCAAGCGAGCGTAGAGGGGCGATAAGTGCCTAGCCGCAATCTGAGGGTGAGTATTCAACGGGAAGGTGAGAGGTGAGGGTTCTGACCCCTGTCTCTGTCATCCCTATGGGTGAGGAGGTGATATTGACATAGAAGTCGAGGGATCTACATGCGGTAGCCTCGTAAACGTTGTCAGGGGCGCAGCCCGAAACGGTGCCCGACCCGCGCCGGCCGTTAAGGCGCGCTCACATGAATGATGAGACACGCTTTGTGCACGCTGGACGCGTCATCGAATACCACATCGGCGTCAAATTCGAAGGCTGGAACAGCGCACGGTACCGCGCCTTCCCCCACTACAATTGAGACGCTGTGATCTCGAGGACGCTCTAGCGAAGTTATTGCGCTGATGCTACTCACTGAGATTCAATCGCAGACGGCGCCCGCAGGGTCCTCAAGCCCTCCAGAGCAAGATACGTGGATGTACTATACTTGCCCGAAATGGAACGTCAACTGAAGATTCAGATCACATATAATAAGTACAGTCATTATCAGTCTACATATCCCGTTGAGATCACGAGGCGCAGCCATTCGAGCCGACCGATGGAGTCGGAGTAAAAAAAACCGATAGTGGTCCCAGAAGGTCACGCCACTACATGTTCCTTGACAAGGAGAGGCATCTGCGTGCCCTTGTCCGGCTGACTCAGTAGGGTCGGACGCTGCAGAAGGGTTCCTGTACGAGCGACATCACCAGGCGACGCGTCAAGTTCGAACTCGAAGGTGCGCATCAAGGTGTATAGAAACGTTTTCATCCTACGCGACATAAGAGATCATGTCAGCGACAATGTGTTGAGTATCAATCGGGAGATACATACTCATCAATAGCAAAGCGGTAGCCAATGCATCCGCGTGGACCGTACCCGAACGAAAGCACGTTTCCCCACATACCCGGAATGGCATCAACACCGGCCGGGGGGTCCAGCCACCTTTCCGGTCTGTAATCATGGGCGGTATTAGTGTTGTCCTATCGCAAAAGCAAATATCCGTACTTGAACTCGAGCGCATCGTCTCCCCAAAGCGCCTGCGACTGATTCATGCCCATGATCGGCACTATAATCCGATTCCCCTTGGCGATCCTGAGCAAATAGCGTAGATTCTGTCAGTGTTGCGGCGATTCGAATTGTGGATGCATCCTCACCGAATCTCATGCTGCAGTTTACCATATTTGTCCTTGAAAGGCTTGCTCACGGGGAGGACATCATCGTGCGATGCCACACGCAGCGTCGTTGCCAAAGGAGCATACACGCGCAGAGTCTCGTGGATGACAGCGTCGAGGTAGGGAAGAGACGCGAGCTCCTCTAGTGACGGATTATCAGAGCTGACAGCAAGAAGTTCGCGGCGGAGCTTGTTCTGGACGTGCGGAGCTTGGGTGAGTGCGAAAAGGCACCAAGTAAGCGCTGTGCTCGACGTCTCATGACCCGCTACAAGAAACCTACTCGGGTCAGCAAGATGTTGTGGCAGATTTTGAAGGATTACATACGTGGGTATCTCTAGCGATGCTCCCAATCAATGTGACTTCAAGCAAGCTTGAGACAGATCGGGACGTACGAGCAAGAACTTCCTCATCTGAGAGACGCTGACTGTCCGGAATGTCGCTCGCCATGTTGGATTTCACCAATAGAGTGAGAAGATCGCGGCCCGCCACAGCCTTGCTCTCCACACCCTCAGTGACCGTCGTGGTTTCTGTACGCATCGCCGCCTTTCTCTCCTCCAGGAGCTCCATGCTGATGCGATCAGTGATCTTCTTCGCCTCCTTGATATTCTTGACACGTTCAGAGGGCTAGATAGGTGTGCTCAGAAGAGGTGAAGGGACGAGGGCGGCAAGAAACAACATACAAAAACGTCAAGGATCGGGAATAATTCCATGACAACGCGCAACAGTGAGAACTTAGGCGGCTTCGCAAAAATGGTTCGGAAGGCTTGATTAAGTTCGTTTGTTTCCCCAGCAGCGCTCAGCGAGCCAAGTTGGTAGTTGAAGCCTGATGTGATGCACGTTGTGAGCGGCAGAGCAAGGCAAATTCTGCATCACCAACCTGCCACGCCGATAACCTCTAGCGTAGCGCTGCTCAGACCATCTACGATATTCATGCGAGCGCGTCCACCTTCCTCCAGTATCTGGCTCTTCCATAGCTCTCGAAGCTGCGCTTGTTGATCAGTGACCGCAGATTCAAGGGCAGTATAAATATGGCTGTCTTACATCCGCAGCCTTGTCTATGAAAACGTCATGCAGGTTGCGGATCTGAGCGACGCCGAAGGCGGGGTTCTGTCAAGGTCCAGCTCGTATAAAACTCGGAGCTGCGTAAACTCAGACTGCGCACCATGGCTCTCCTCTGTAGTCATTGCCAATCAGTATCACTGCGCACATGAAAAGCATACACTTACTTGTTTTCTATGTAGTTCGCCTGGCGTACGATTAGGTCAATGCAAAGTGTTGTGACAGAACCGTCACCTTCAGTAATCAAGATGCCTGAAGAACATGAGTATGTGTTTAGCAATGCCAGTATATACAGGCGTACTTTTCCCCATGACTCGAGCAAGCTGCATGCGTCCTTCCATCGGCTTCTCATACGAATATGCCTGAGCCATGACATATGCGATCGTAGTAGGGTCGATTGTCCACAGGCAGGGCATCTGAGGATAGTCTTTCAGAATGCGTATAAGGCTGCACACGGTCTACAGGCTCACCATACCAAGCCAGTGGACCAAAAAGCTTGAGCCATACGAGGCGACCCATTCCTGGATCTGGAGGGCATTCCGCACGTTGCTAATCTGCTTGAAGTTGCCGTAGAACCAACTGGGAGCAGCTGGACCTCGTAGAGACCAAAGGGGAGAGCGGTAGAGCGGGAAGACAAAGCGAATAGAGAGCCACGAGACTACCCCAACAGGGAGGATGAGAAGCGTTGTGACAGAGAGCATGGAGGACTTGGTGGTTAACGAAGGAGGTTTGAGCGGAAAGCAGTCAAGCGAAGGCACTCATGTCGTCCTCCTGGTAAGCGCGCGGACTCTTGATTGGTTGCCGGCCAAGTCAAGGCCGCTTTCAGCGCCTCGAATATGAAGTTCGGCATGGCTAGATTGTGTAGCTCGCCAATGGACTTTGCGCGCGTGTGCGCAAGAAGCTGTCGTCCATCGACATCATGGCTCGAAGCGCATGCTGACACACGGCGCAGGCTTCCGCAGACACGTAAGCGGTTCCCACACCCCTTCAACTCCTCCATGCAGTTGCCTGATTCTACTTGGTTCCTACCAGTATCTCGCGCCCGGCTGACTATGGATTGCCAGACCTTATGCTACGGGAATCAAATCTGATCCTTCGGGGTCAAGCCTTATAGTGCACCTGATACTGTGAGGCCAAATTGGGTCACGGACTCACATAATCACCCCAGCTTGTCATTCAAGCTATGGTACTTCGCTTCCCTGATCACTTCGCGTCATCGCCCAGCAGTACACATAAGGAAGTACACCGATGCGAATGCCGCACGCCGCTCTTACTCCGCGTGCCAACCAATGATACGCGGGAGAAGCGAGATCCTACTCTGGCACGGCGCCGCTTACGGCCCGCTCGTCCGGAATTGAGGTGTATGCCCTACTTGTGAGAGTGTCTTCGCTTGATACTACTATGCAACGCTACGTATAGTGATGTTCGAGATGCTTCATACGTTCTGATAGAAGATTTGACAAAGCACCTGGCAGAGTAATATGGAAGTGCTCGTGCGAGGCGGATACCTTGTCCTCGAACCCTATCGCAATGAACGTTGGATGAAGCTAGTGCATTCAATACTGACTCGGTTGTCCCGATCTTCCGCTTCGTATACGTCCCCCTTCCAACTGTAATCGGGGACCTAGGTGAGTATGCCACACCTCTATCTTGTTCAGCAGCTCGCCATGCGGGGGTGAATGACGAGCAGCATGCGCAATGACTCCATTATGGTAGTCACTCACGTCTGTCAGAATAACATGTGAGCGAGATGCTTCTCCGCTGTACCGTTGGTATGCCGCTTCCCACTGTATCCGATGTTGCAATCACCTACGCCCTGTCTACATCAACTTGCTTCGTGCCGCTGCGTGTATCTACATGGCAGGTTGCGCCACAACCCGCAAATCATCCCAGTAAGTTCAACTCTACACATGAGCTGTACAACGCTCCGTCCAAGCTCCGGCTCTCTCTATATCGAGCTGCGGCGTGAAGGTACTACGCTTGTTGGGTAGTACAGCATCGGACGTTAAAGTTCTCCGACGTTACACGCTGGCCTGCCTCCAGGGACGTTCTGCAAGACGATACGCGCCAGAAAGCTTCAGCGATGGATCGCCGTTAACACAGTGCAACGTGCTGATAGCTCGATCATGAAGCGCGCGGTCCAAACGCCTCAGACCTTTGGGTGATTCCTGGTGAGAACGGCACGGCTCAACATTGAACGCGCTCGCCGAAGAGCTTGGACCAACGACCACTATTGTTGCGACAGGCGAAACTTATCTACTACCCTTGCACGATATATGATTTTGTATCTATCGGCCGAGGCGCAGATGTCCAATAGATGTCAATATCCGCGGCTTAGCGCCTATCGGTCGCCCCAGCACGTGCACCTGGCGCACACGTGGCGGGAACGGCCTTTCAATCCGCTCGGTGGTTCCCTCTTGCCACATCCCTTGGTCACCGATGGTTCAAATGACACCCACGGACCCGGCACTTCATCGATCGCTTTCCGTCTTCGTGAGGTATCACAGGAGTGGGCTCACCAGCATCGTTCTGCAATGTCGATCGCCAGCGTACTCCGTCGAACGTTCGCTCATGCGCACACTGTCTACCTATTTACCAAATCAGACATGAAGACCATTCTTTTCCCCATAGTCAGTCGAAATATCATACCTTTCCTCTCGACGTGCGCTCATTTCATGGGGCGATTGCAGGCCCTCTTCGCTTGGTGCACGGCGCCTCAACTAACGGTCATATCGTTCGCGCATTCGTTCTTCTGGATCTGGCTCCACCTCCTGCAGTTCTGTGTCTCGAACCAGTACCTCTCTCCACATGAAGACGCCCTTAACAAGCCTTGGCGGCCTATTCCGGCTTGTAGGGTCACCATTCGAGAAGCCACAATCCTCCGTTGGCTTCTCTTACCTATCTGTCTCGCTCTTTCAGCAGCCCATCGAGTTCTCCCCATAGGCGCGACACTTGCAATAGGCATCTTGATGCATAACGAGTTACGCCTGGACTCGCATTGGTTCACTCGTAACGTTCTCAACGCGATCGGTTACGCAGTTTTCGATGCTGGCGCGACGGCCATCGCTCGAACAGGTTCGTGTCCTCCGTTACTGTATCTTTTATGTTGCTGACTCTCGTCACTTCCCCTCTTCAGATCCCTCTAACGAACTCTCCCCCATGGCACTCTCTGCTCACTATCTCAGCATCGCGATTGTTTTCACTACAATCCACGCCCAGGACTTTCGTGATGAGGATGGTGACCGTCAGGCGAGACGTCGTACCATCCCGATTGTCATGCCTGAGGTTGGCCGGCTGTCAATGCCGCTCGGTCTTTTGGTGTGGTCATTTACTCTGGGCATGTTCGACCTACCGCCTATCATAAGCATATCGCTCGTTGCAATGGGCGGACTGGTGGGACTACGCTTCTATTGCATGCGAACAGTTGACGCTGACAAAACTTCGTATCTTCTCTACAATGTGAGCTACTTGGACCTAACTCTTACTTCCATAGAGGCTAATGTTCTCAGCTCTGGCTTGCTACAGCGCGTATATCCCCGGTCTACGCTCAGCGATGATGGCGCTATTAACTATCCACAGTAATCGTCGCTCCTGGCATCTTTCGTTCGCTACTGTACGATTCATGTTCAAGACATAAGCACTGTTCATATGCGCCCTCGCGAGAAAGATCACGCATGGCTCTATATGGAGAGTCAAATGCGGTTTCGGTGCAAACGTCATACGAGACTCCTCATGGATATCCGAACTCCATGCATGGCATCGGTCTTGATGTAGCCGCCATCTGCCAAACCAACCTCTCGGTGTAACGTTACCTGGTCGATGCGAGGGAGCACGCCGCTGTAAGAGATCTTCGTTCGCACTGATCGAAGAATGATTGTTCCGCATGCTGTGCGTGATACGCCTGAGATCGTACAAGTTGTGGGCTTACTTTGGGTACGTGAAGGGCATCTACGGTGCAACGCTCCCAAGCGGCGTGGATCTAGATCATCAGTGTACCTCCCCATGGTACCCGAGTCTTCCATTCTGCTCTTTTCAGGATAAGCTTGGCTATCAAGTCATCCGGCTTCATTCATCATCCCGCGTGTCACTGGCCGCCCGGTAGCACGGTGGAGCGTCTATTGCGAACTCGATGGACACATCAGCGGGCTACATACAATCCCACGAAGTCGAGATGGGCACCGTCTTATAAAGGGGTTGGACATATGTTGAGGGGCGCCAAACCTCGGAAGGCATGGCATCCGCTCCAATCTCCTCTCTCCTTGGCCTGCTCAAACACAGTCTCGGGTCGGAGTTCATTGGTTGCATCGTATGCTCTATGTAGGTCATCCATGCTGAATCTGAAGAGTCTGTCTATGGTCTGATAGCGCCGTGTTTATGTAGCTTGCAAGGTTCGTTATTCTACGGCGCGTTCATCTACATCCGGTTCTATAGGGACGATCCGCTGTATTTGAAACTTTGGGCAAGTGCTCTCTGCATGCGTATCAGGTAGATGTGCTGACTATCCGCCAGGTCGCAGCGGTGCTGTATGTATGCAATTGCCAGCCTGCATCTAAGCCTGACCCAGGACGGTAGCACGGTGCAAACCATTTGTACCGCGCTGATTATACACACGACGTGAGTGTTCAAGCATGCTCCCTGGTTCTGCTGCTGTAACAGGTGATTGGATAGGTTCTATCTACTAGTCACCAACTATTTCAACCCGGCGTTCGTGGTGGAAGGTGCCCCTCTGTAAGACGTTCTTATGCTCCAAATATGCGACATATTCCTCTGACCATGTGTAGATCGTCCAAGGTATGCCGATCGCATCATCAGTATTCTGAAGGATCATGCGTCATCCTCACTCGTGGCCATAGCTGGTAGCAATATTTGGCGTGAGTCCCTTCATTTGAAGTCTCGATGAGGGCTAACACTGTGTGGCAGCCGATCAGTAACCTCCTTGTACAGTCGTGAGTGCCCGACGATGTATCCATTGCCTCTACCAAGCTGATCGCTAAGTTTATACAGCTTCTTCGCGCGTAGGGCCTTTATCAGTCAGTATCAGTGGATCAGATTCTGCACACCCGACTGACAGAATGCTTGTCCAGTTGGGAGGAAGTACTGGCCGGTCACTGCCTTCGCCGTAAGACTTCGGTAACATGACTCGAAGCTCCATCTGATCTTTTGCGTAGATGTTAATGAACGTGGCATCTTGCGGTTGGACACCTCTCTCTACTCACGATTCAATCGAGTTACTCACTCGGTCTGTATCGCATTTGTGGCAGGTTTCTTCATTGGTACGTACATTGCCAACAAGAGGTGAGATCTACCAACTAAGAGTGTACAGGCACTGCGGCCTCAGCGTGCGTGAGATGTTGCAAGCGCTCTGCTGGCATTGACGTTCGGAGTCTATTCTAGATTTGCCGTAGGAAACTTACAGAAGTCACTTTACTCCGGAAGCGTGAGTGGTAGTCTATCATTGATGCATCTTGACTGATGATATTATGTCAGTGGATAGTGACAACGGGCTCCGCTTTGTCACTGGCTGGGGATCTTCAGCTATCAGCAATACTCATCTGGGCACTGCACAAGAATCGCACCGGCTTCAACAAGTGAGTGGGTCTTGGGTATACTGCTGTGTTTCTACTGATCGTTCGATATCAAGGACGAACACCATGATCGACGCCTTAATCGCATACACCATTAGCTCAGGCAAGTGCAACGTCCGCTGTCTGGATTGCACTGACTTACCTATCCGACGAGTAGGTTTACTGATCTGGTGAGGCTTAGACTTGTCGTAGCTTTCATCGGGGCACAGCTGATCTCTGCACACCGCGCAGCGTGCTAAACCTGATTGCTGTTATACTTGTAAGTGCGATAGGTTTCCCTCGTGCCAATCAAGCCGGTCTAAACGGGCAAATAGCTGGGAGTGTTTCCCCACAGTATTTACTATCTCACGACTCTTTGGGTTGGGACCCTAGGTGTGCCATCTCCTCGCCTTGTAAAGCCCGGTGCTTGTGCTCATCTCCTACCAGTTAACTCAAACTCGTTCATGGTATCGTGAGTGAATGCACTCACGTCTTGTAGGGACGGTCATGCTTACCATTCGATGAAGTCTCAACTCGCGGAAACTCATACAGAACATCGGCGACCCAGATCTGTCGACGACGATCCCGACATCTAATGCCAACCGCAACTTTCAAAGGCAACAGATTGTCACTCCAGTACGTTCGCGTACTACAGCTTGATCATGTATCTCAAGTTGACGGGCCTTACAGATAAGGTTCACGTCTGGTCCAACAAGGTCTCAGACAACACAAGATAACACCGACGTGGAGATGAAATCCGTAAGGACTGGCTTGCACCAGCCGGTGCTGGGAGACTCCTCAAGCGAGTTCAAGCCGACTCGGCGTGATCTGGTACGCGAGGATTCGGATGGCGAACACGAGGCGGATGCATCTATCTTGAACATCTCGCAACTTCCTTGAGACGCTGAGAAGCGTAGGCGACGGTAAATGCAAAAGGGGCCCAGGGTCCGTATGATCTAGGAAGGATGTGACGTGAACGATTGCCACTTTTCGATCAAGATTTGTACCTATGTAGCACTGCTGTCTTCGTATGGGCTGCACTATATCATTCATCGGGGACATATATAGCCAAATGTCTGGCGCGTGACTGTAGTCTGGCTTTGGAAGTACGCCGCAATAGCCCGCGCAATGATCTTAGGACATTGCCATCTGGCTCAGATGACGGGCACGAGACGCTTTGCCTCTCCAAGTGCTTCGCGCCAGCTAATCCAAGCTCCTTGCTGGCCCCCAGGAGCATAACGCCACAAGGGGGGTGCCGGAAGGGAAGCAATATGCGGCAGTGTTTGCTACGCTTGCTAGTAAAGCAGGGTCGCACGGACGTATCAAGGCCTCGACGTCGGAGGTCGGTCGTAGGTGGTGTTCACAAGTGCGGGCAGCGAGAGAGCGGGAAAGAACCTAGCCTCCCTTGCAGGCTTTTCAGCGACCTTTTTGGCGGGAGGGAGGACGGTCGCTTGAAAGACCCTTGGCGCTTCTACATCAATATGCTCACCGGGCTGTCGATAGGCCCATCGCCTGAGCAACGGCGCGGCACCCACTCGTTCGAGCGTGGTGTGCAATGTGCATGCAGTTTTGGGAAGCGAGAGGCCGAAGGAAGACTGGATTTTCACGCTCAATGTGGTACGAGGTACGTCTGTCATAACCTGACGGGTTGCGAGATGGCGGTATTCGGTTACAGCTGTTTCCAGTGAAGTGCGGAAACGCGAATCGCGTCAACGCGCCCCGGAAGCACAGCCCAGAGCCGACGCGTCCCCAGGTTGAAGCTGGCGCTGAAGTTTGACCCGAGGTCCCGACGAACTATGACTTGCATCGTATTCATACTCAGACCTCCTAGCACCTTTTGAAGGTAGGTTTAATAGCCCTCTAAGACAGCACAGTGAATTCTGCACGCAGAATTATAGGCCTGGGGAAGGGACATAAACCGTACAGTTGAGTGGGAATGTCGGGAATCGAACCCGCTCTATCGTGCGACGCGATTCGCGATTCTGCACTTCATTAAATAAAAGAAAATAGCGTGCAGCTGAGAAGAACGCGCGTCGGCTTATCTGCCGGCGCCGGCCCGTTCGGCCTTGCCGCTTGCCACCACCAGCATGAGCCAGCAGGACCATGTCGTCAATGCACTGCGTACCCAATCATGCACACTGAGTTCCCACTCGTAGTTCCTACCCGCTTGCAAATGGATGGCTGGTAAAGCGTGAAGCGTTCATGTCTCAACGATGAACGCTGTAAGTAGTTCACTACACTGCGCCTATATCGAGACCCTTAGCGTCGGAGCAGCAGCCCATCATTCAGCAATTCACGGCCACCACTTGCAACCGTCCTCACCTTGGCTCGATACCGGACGCGTCATAGTCGAGAAAGCACCTAATCCTCAGCTCGACGTCGAGGGTTCATGAGCCCTAGCAAGCGCGTGGCGAGCCGTGTCATGGTACAGAGGCTGTTCCTACGATCTCTCACTTTCGCGCCGACCAGTTTAACTCCCATCACGTTCAAGACCGGGTAAAATGATGCCTCCAGGTGCAATTCGTGCGGCAGGTACTTTCAACATCAATGCTCAGGTCAGAGGAGCTCTATCAGTAGATCGAGCGGTCAGTACACCTACCGGATAGGAACTGTGTTGCCGGGAAGTTCCTCAGCGACTGTGCTGCACCCTACCACCGACATGTCCTGGACCCGAGGGACCTCTCATATCGCTCTGCATTGACGAGGATCGATCTCGTCGTAGTCGATGGACGCGCTCTTTGAACTGCTGTCATCGAAGGATCCTCCCCCCATATGATCTTCAGATTGGCTGCAGGCTTCAACTTCATCCCGAGGGCCGCCATTCACCTCAACGGATACGGGCAGTCATAGCGCAGCAAGTCTACCCCGTATCGCAGCTTGAATACAACATCCACTTCACCCACACGGCATTCCCTGCATCGTGCTCGGTCATTGTCGGTGCCAATCTCGTTACTCTTGGGCTCGAGGACTTCTCGGATCTATGCCGAACCATACAATTGGCGAAAGACTGCGTGCTGCATTACCCGCAGGTTTCTCGTGGTCACGGATCCTGGCGCTGTTGAACTCCGCGGAGAGCATCATGCTCGTCCATACGATGTTGGATGTTGTGCGAGCGTTTACGGGCACGCCCGGGGCGAGCAACTGGCGGGGCAGGTCTACGTCACAGCGAACTCGAGGGTATAAACCTGATCTCGGAGTACCACGAATGTCTCATACGGGATGTCAAAATACCCATCGCTCCCTCAGGGCAGTTTGCCTTACGGGTCCGGCTGATCAACTGCACCATAGACGGCGAAGACAACCACACCCGCGGCGTCGTCTTGATGTAGTACGATGCCCAAGTCCGAGAATACACCAGTATCGATGGATCGCCAACGTCATGATCATGTACGCGATTCTTCCTTGTATTCCTGGTAGACTACGTGCTACGTGGGTGTTCATTTCTCCTTGCATACAATGTGTGAGGTTCTGCATACTTTATATCGGTTCTTGCGTTTGTTCCTACCAGCGCCGCGCTACAAATGCTGTCAAAGTACGCTGGACGCAGCCTATCATCGATTATTGTCTGTCTGACAAAGCAACAATTCCGAGTCCTGTAAGCATATCGCTCGTCCCAGCGTACCTACATAAGATCCGTTGATGTGGAGATCTTGAAGTCAATCTTATCTGCTCCGAAATCAGTGATCCGTGATAGCAAGCGGGCGATTCGTGCAACTTATTCTGTGCCACCACGAGCGAGCAGGCGTTCATCTTCCTCTGGACACACTATTTGAGTATTCCATTGTGCTTGCTATATCTAGGCGCGTATCTTGTCGTCAACCTCCACCATTGGCCACTCACTGATTGCAGCCTGTCTTGCAGATGACTGCTTCGAACATCGATGATCTCCCAATTGAAATCCTCACTTGTATCTTCCGATGTCTCGTTCTCGTCGATGACGGAGCAACATACGTGAAATTCAAGATACCGCCAGGGTTCTATTTTGCGAGTAGTCAACCGACGCTGGAATGCCGTGGCTGAGGCGACGTCAGAACTTTGGCCAGACGTTGTCGGACGTTATGGACTCGAATGGGCGCGGCGTGCGCTGTCGTTATCGAGAGACCTCCCGTTAAACCTATGCATCGTGGCCGAAAGTCAGAGCACTGGCCGGCTACAAGCCAGGTGCTATCTGAGTTGAACGTGAACCATTCCGGGTTCGCGCTAGAACTTGATGACATAGCGAACCGATCGAGCGAGTTGTTTACTGAACTCTGGTAGCGCAACCATGAGCAAGGATACTCGGGTTGACTAGCTCAGTTCAACACATCTACGCGGGGTCCAATATCGGCTGGCTCGCAGAGGCCCTGGCGCTCCAGCTTCCGAGCGGGAGATTGTCGCGTCTCCGCTACATCGATATTCAGCATGCATACGTATCATCGAGGGAGTTGGACAGTGTTGTCAACACCTTCAAGGCCCGGCGCGATGCCTTCGACGAGGAATATCAGGTCCCAACGATCCGCATGCATGACTGCCACTTGGACCACAAGAAGGTCTCCACATTCGTGGTAGATCTCAGTTGCGACCAGCATGGCGCGAAGCAAGCGCTGTCAGCTTTGGAGGGCAGTAACTTGACGCATAAGAATGAATGAGGATCAGCACGATGAGCAACTTCATGGGAGGGTAAACATTGTTCGCTATGAACCGACAGATATAATACAAGAAGCTCTATCTCTACACATGTCAGAGCAATCGCATCAGCCAGTAATATATCATTTCCGAAACTCGATCCGCCCTGAGAGAAAACAGCATTTTGCGGCGCACTCAGCACGCCTCCCACTCCCTCCTGAACACCTCCGCCCAAGCCATGACGAAGTAGCAGATACCCATCGGTACGAGGCATCGTCGAGTGACCTCTCGCCAGTCCCATCGGCGTCCACCCCATCGTCCGCCCAGCTTGAGCTTCCATCCGCCATCTGCACCAGCGTCGTCACCGGACCACCATAGGTTGCTGGTGACCCAGATCTGCACGGACCGTGATATGCAGGTAGTGGTGCCGATGACGGCCCAGCATGCGAGTGGGCGGACTTCATTATTGAGGACGGTCAGAGTTGCGTGGGTGAGGGGCCAGCAGAGCGCTTGAAGCGCGAGGAGGCGGACCAAGGTGGCGAGAGGCGGGTAGTAGACGCGCCATCGGACGAGAAGGCCGGTAGTGAGGTATAGGCATTGCCAACCCGTGAGGACGGCCTAGGCTTGGTATCAGCTTCTGTAATATACGATGACGATGAAGTGAAGTCATACCCATAGGGCAGATACAGCATAGTCCACGCGAGAGAGGCGAGGTAAGTTCCCAGTCGAAGACGTTGTGGGAAGGTATAAAGCGAAGTATAAGTTATACAGCACGCCGAGAACGGCGGGGACGATAGATAGAAGGCGTGACGCTTCGAAAACGAACGTGATCAAGGTGCTTGGCGGTACGAGCGGACCACTATGCGGAGTGAGCCGTGCTGTTGGGAGGCGGCGGGACTGTGGGCGTGTCAGTCTGCGTGCACACGTTCCCAGATGAAACGAAAGATAAATGAAGAGTCATTATGAAGCTCGTGTGCCCAAATGGAGGCATAACCCATGAGGCTAGCGTACCGCCAAATGTGGCGAGCATATCGCACACGTCAAAGTTAAACGTTAAACGCGTAACGGATGTACCGACGGACAGAAGTGGGCGCGCAAAGCCCAGATATGGAAGTAGACTCACCGGTTCGTCTGCCTCTGTCTCCGTCTCTCCCGCACACGCTCTTCCGGGAGCAGTGGTGATGGCTCTGCCCGCATTCCTACCCACGCTTCCGCCGTATCGCGCTCTCAGACCCTCCCGAGCAGTGTATAGTCCGCCCGCATCACTGCTTTCGTCCGCGCATTCTTCGCTGTCTACCTCGCTATCCGGCGGCGCTGTTCGGCTGAGTGCACCGAGCTGATGGAGTTGTGGTGTGCTGCGGCTCTTGTGTGGCCTGTTCGCGCGCGGTGCAGATCCGGACGCGATTGGCGCAGGTGCGGCGGCAAGTGCCGGAGGTGGTGGTAGGATAGGCGGTGTGGGCGAGTACGGAGGGGGTGCTGAGCCGGCCAGGATTGGTGAATTGCAGGCGAACGGGACGCAGAGGACGGGGTAGAAGACCGGCCCGATGTCCGAGATGGAGGCAGCAGCACTGGCGGAGCGATGTCGAAGATGGTGTTTCTTGTGCGGGCGTGGTGCAGGCGGTGTCAACGGAGGCGTACGCAGCTGCTCGTCCTCGGACGAAGAATACGAGTATAGCTCGCGTGAGCGCCTGTGAATCCCGACTGCAAGCGGCGTCAGCGCCTTGGGTTCTCTGGTCGAGTTTGCGCGACGGCGGGGTGCGGACAGAGACATCGCGAGGCTTACCCGTTGAACTAGGTTATTTTGCGCCGGCTTCTCTTATGGAAGTGCGTCGTTGGTTGCAGGCGAAGATGATGGCGCGCGCGAGACATGCCACACACAGAAGACGCCCTGGACTTCCACACGTGGGTTCTTGTCTCCTCCCGCGAACATCTCAGTCTGCCTCCGTCTATCCCGCTTATGGCTCTATTCGTGTCTCTCGCGCCGCAGTAACCACAGAGCGCCCATTGTCTCGCCAAAAAGGCTCTCCTAAATGTCAACGTCGACCTGCAACTACATGTTTCCTTTATCGCACCCTCGATCTTCCTGAAGTTCGATGCCCATACACGATGCGTGATCCTCGCACGCCCCGTCGCGATGCGAACATAGATAACCCTGACGCTATACACTTCGAGGAAGAGGCTTGTGTAAGTACATTCTTGTTTACGTGCGACAGTGTTATCGGACATGACGCCCGCTGTCCAAACGCTAAAGCCAGTTTCAATAGCACACTTATCGACCAGAGCTCCGACTCTGATGCGACCTCCGACCTGTACTACGCAATAGGGTCTGGACGATCCTCCTCCACAGTCCAACGCCCAGAGCGCCACGGCTCCCCGCAGTGTACCGCTCTGTACGCGACAGTCCCAGGCTTGTCAGGTACGAAGCTTCACCTACAAGCCTGGGTCGCGATGAGATCAAGGGCTCGGGCGGTCTGTGAGGGCGTCACTTCCCCGCCTTCAGACTTCTGTCGGCACCAGGCTACATCGTTGTACCCTCAGTTCGTTCTGCGCAGTACGAATGCATGCTTCCAGTTCGGGGCAACAACGCTCGCGGCTTTGCCCGACTGGTATTTGCGCCCCGCACGGTGCCCCGCATTCGAGACGGCAACCCGCGTTCAAGGCGGCAGACCGCACAAAGACCGCACTCATCGGGCAGCATCCGAGACTTGCCGACGCGGTACCGAGACAAGTTCAACGTTCAACATTGGATGCCTTGGCGCTACATGTCGGTCTTCCAACTTCCATACCACGTTTGACAGAAACTGCCAAACGCATTCGTCGGCGCCGCTGCGCACACATCTAATTGGAAAGCGGCTTACCTCTCCCATTTTAGAGTGCCCGAGCGAGCCTATCTCTAGCGCTCGCGCTCAATTGTCAAGATGCGCCCTCTTTAAGCATGGGCTATTCGGTCGCCCGACTGCTTCTCTCGGCTTTCGCCTGGCGAGCGTCTTGAACGGCGATGATCGCGGTCGATCGTGGTCTGCATGGGATAGGATGCGTATCGTGCAGTTACGCTATTGACACTCATGATAGCGGAGTCAAAACATGTAACGCCCAGGCTTCACTCAGGGAGTCCATGCCTGTTCAGAAGACATAGATGGTAGTAGGGTCGTGCTCCTCGTTGAGATCCAACGTGTACACCGACTGTCGGAAGAACATCAGTCTCCCCTTCCTTTACGTGCAATGACTACCGAAGAACGTACCTTCATGATGTACATATCATCCAATAATACATCGTCTTCCTCGCCAAAGATAGAATCCTTCAGTCCTGTACATAGACAGGGCAGCTGCCGCGTTACGGTCTCCTGTGTCCAATCGAAAGAGCCAGATTCCGGTTTCAATCCCATGCTGATAGCCGTCTCTTCACTCCCAATGAGTCGTCGCGCTACCGCTACAGAGTGATCATCGTTGAAAGTCCGCTCAGCGTAGTCAGAAGTAACGCTGCGTTGCGCCGTGTTGAAGTCTAGAATGTAGTGCGCGACTGGCCCTTCGGGGTTCTCGTGTGTGCGGGAGTACTGAACGCCGAAAGTCACGCGCGACCCGGAGAACGCACTATACGGGTATGAATTAGAGTGACCGACGATCTGCTCTCAAGATCTTACTCACACATCGCTGAGGTGACTCGTTTCGCCTTGCTCCACGATACGCACGTTTCCCGGAGCCCATTCAGACCAAGCAACGCGCCTGCCGGGTTGTGCACCGGATGATATCCACGATAGGAGAGTAGAAGTCTTGACGATGACAGCCAATACCGTGTCCATCTGGACACTCCCGGCTTCATGATCCTCGTGGTGGACAATCTTGATGAAGAAAGAGTGTAGACGCGACGCGGGCGAAGGGACGAAAGCCTGCCGGCGAGGCTCTGGCCGCCCGAGGGAGCTCGTTCCGGCCGTGATATACAGAATCCGGTTCTGGCGGATGTATGGCCTCGGGAAGAGAAGTCGGGTACAAGTCTGTATCATGTCTTTCGGGGCACCTTTCGTCTGTCCGGTGGGGTCGAATGGTATGAGGAGAGTGGATGCCATTGACGGATCGGTCTGAGTGAGAGAGAATGCAGACATGGATAGGTATGTGAATCCGTGACATTGAAGGTGCGCGTAGTCGAAGTGCTCGAAGTCCATGTACTGCAAGGGCTTCGAGTGAGTAACGAAAGCAGCGTAGCGCACGAATTCATACTCACGAAGAGTTGCTCGCCCGAGTTCCAGTTCCAGATCATGAGGAACGAGTCCGGGTAAGCAGAGAACAGGGCGAGCGAAGATCCAGCAATGTGAATAGCGCTTCCCGCAAGGAAGGCGTACGTGCAGTCGGTTCTCAAGATGGGCACAAAAGCCTGGCCGTGCGCGGCTGCATCAGGAGATGAGAGGCTACGAAGGTGCACGGCGATCCTGCCGTGTAAGTCTGTGCCAAATAAGCCCTCCTCCGTCAGCGGCTCGTCCGGGTCTATGTGACCCTCCACGAACGCAAGCAGATCCTGAGAGGGATCGATAGCGAGGCTATCCAGAAGTACGTCGAGCTCCGGGACTTCAATAGTTGTGGCCTCACAGGCACGCGAGGGAAGATAATGGATCACAAGCTGTGGATTTCGCGATACAGCGTAATGAACATAGACATTGCCGGCCAAGTCGAGAGTGTAAGACTGGTCAGCAGATGGATGTGCCGCTGTCAGGTGAGGCATAGCATGATCCCATGCCCTACGTCTGGAGAGAAGTAGTTCATGCCGTTCGGATATCGATAGAGGGCACTGAGGTGGGCCGTCGACGTAGCCAAGTCTCCCCAGATCGACGATGTACTGTAGCTCTTTCGAGGCTCTATAAACGTTCTGTATACGACGACAGACCTAAATAGTTGATATAAGACCTTCAGGTATCAGTTGGGAAGAATGCTTCGGCATACCATCGATAAATGTACGATGTCACGGTGATCCAGCAGAAGTGCGATGACAGATAGAAGTTCATTCGGCAACCCGAGGAAACCCGTCGGAGGCGGAGTCATATCTATGCTGGAAGAGTTGCACTGTAGAGCTGCAGTACTGGTGTGCACAATATATTCTCTGCTGCCTCTGGAGTCGAGGGTGCCGACCGACGAAGGCGACAGCAAGGGAGGAAACGAACCTCCGCCGGATGCGCCTCGTGGTTCGCATCAAAAACGCGACCCACGTGCAAAGTCCCACGAGGCTCGCACCCGAGCGCGACTCATCGCGTCTTCCCCTTGTCCACGAACCACCACCACCTAACACATCTACCTTCACTGTGTACATAACCCGTCACGCTTGCCATGCCGAAGCGGCCTCTGGAAGATATTGAAGATGCCACAACCGCGGCGGGCAGTTCAAAGCGCGCACGCTTCGATCCATCCGCGCCACAAGTACGCGAATACAATCATGCCGAGGATACACAGCTAGAAAGAAGTGCAAAAAGTAAGGGAAAGCAACGCGCGACTGATGATATGGACGTGGACGACGATGAAGATGGAGCTGAACACACTGACGCTATGGGCACTGACGATGAGGCCGAACTCGAGAAGGAAGTTCGCGAGTCGATACGCCAGCGCGGGAATCGGCCGACCGTGCGTTCTTTGCCCGGTCATACTGACAACAAATAAGTCGCCTTATATATATACCTTGCTCAACTTAGGCGTCTGCCAAGTACGGTGTCATCGACAAGGTCGAGATGTACCAATTCATGTGCCACCAACACCTTACATTCAATTTCGGCCCGCGCATCAACTTCATCATTGGTAAGCATCGTCTCTTTTTCACTTTAACGGCTTGCTCACTCTCTAAAGGTCACAACGGAAGTCCGTCGCATACACTCATGGACTTTGTAACTCGCTAACGCATTCATTGTGGTCAGGTGGCAAGAGCGCTGTCCTCTCCGCCATCACTATCGGCCTCGGTGGTAAGGCCAACTCGACGGGTCGTGGTAGCGGCCTTAAGGCCTTCATTCGCGAGGGACAGAAGTGCGTCTGCTTTCTGCTGCTCGAAGTGACTTCTTAACCCGAATTCTGGGTTAGCGCGGCCGAAGTGACCATCCACATCAAGAACCAGGGCGAAGAAGCGTATAGACACGACGTCTACGGAGATAGCATCGTGATTACGCGCAAGTTTACTAGAGACGGAAGCTCGTCCTACGCGATCAAGAGCAAGTCCGGCAAGAAGATCTCCGGGAAGCGAGAGGAGCTGTCGGCGATCTGCGATCATATGAGCATCCATGTCGACAACCCATTGAACGTTCTGACGCAAGGTAAAGGTCTTTCTATCTTGCACCGACGTCTGACCTTTCTAACGTACCCCTTCAGACGCATCTCGACAGTTCTTGAACTCGGCCAACGCATCTGACAAGTACAAGGTATGATATGCGTTGATGACTGGCCCGCCACCAGCTGACGGCCAATCAATCCAGTTCTTCTTACAAGGGACGCTACTCGCACAGCTTAGCGATGAGTACCAAATCTGCGATGACAACCTCTCCCGCATGTCGCACATTCTCGGAGCGAAACGTGGCGCTGTACCCGACCTCGATTCCGCGCACAAGGATGCCGAACAACGCCTGAAAGAAGCTAAGGCGGCACGCGACCACCGTAACAGGATCGATGATCTCAAGAAGGAGCTCGTCTGGTCGACCGTGCGTGCCAAGGAGATGGAAGTTGAGGCGCAAGTGGAGGTCGTGTCGAAGAGTGAGCGTCGTGTCGAGAAGCTTCAGGGTAAAGTAGACGGAGCTCAGCGGGCCGTTGATGCGGCTACAGCGTTGGTTATGGAGAAGGAGCGCGCTCATAATGAGCTCGGCAGCAGAGAGGGGCTTGACGCTCAAGTAACGGCATTGAAGGCGAAGATCTCGACACAGAAGAGGGCTCTAGGAGAGCTCAAGGTCGTGCTCTTCACGCTGATATCCAGACATGTGGCTCAATGCTATATAGATCGAGGAAGCGAACGTGAACACCGAGGTGCAATCCATCCGGTCAGAGATCGAAACGCTCAAAGAACAGAGGCGCGTCGAGCTGGCGAAGAGTGCGACTCGCGTCGAAGGGGAACATGAAGCTTTACTGCATCATCTAGAGGAAGCGAAGGCGGAGCTGGAGCGCGCGGGCGCTGCACGTCAGGCTGCGGACGACCGAGTCGCTGAGACGCGAAGAGAGCGTGACGGTGTCCAGACGGCCATACAGCAGAACGAGCATGACGTCAGACAAGCTGACGCAGCCCGAATAGGCGCTCATCAACAGCGCCTAACTGCGGAGGAAAGCGCACAGGACAACCTCGCTGCCTTTGGCCGGAATATGCATCACGTTCTAGATGCCATTCAGGAAGCTCGGTGGCATGGCGAAACCCCGGTTGGACCTATTGGGCGCTATGTCAAGCTGCGAGACGGACAGTGGGCAGGCGTTCTTCGCGTCCAGATCGGCAGGCTTATGAGCGCTTTCGCAATAACCGATCTGCGCGACCGGGATACGCTGTCCCAAATCCTGAGGCGATTCGGAAAGTTCGTCAAAACCGTCGCCCATCTTGCTCCATAGTCTGACAATGTTCACAGTGAGGACATTCCCATCATTGTCGCGGGTATCGATCTCTTCGACTATAGCCGCGGCGAACCAGACGAGCGGTACTTGACAATCCTACGGGCGCTCGAAATCGACAACGAGTACGTGAAGCGCGTGCTCGTGGACCGGGCTCATATCGAGCGTCTCATGCTCTTTCGTGAGCGTAAGGAGGCCGACGCCGTCCTGAAAGCCCATCGCAGCGGCGTAGCTCTCTCTCAAGACGGGTTCATCGTGACTCGATACAGCGATTCTGGGGGCTCGTCGAACCCACTGCAAGACCTTGGTCCCCGCGATCGGCGTCACTCGATGTTCACCAATCGCGACAGCGCTGCGCAGATCTCGCATTGGCGCGAGCGAGAGCGGGAGGCGGTTCAGAAGTACAACGAGACTCGAACTTGCTCGGAGAATCTTCGTACTCAGCTCAGTCGTATAGATCAAGAACTGAGGGGCGTTCAGGTGACTAGTATCCGATCCTGACGTGTCATCCAGTGTGCTCACTGGTATCTTACTAAGGCCGGCGCGCAACGTGCGGCCACGGAATTTACCAAAGCGAGGCGCAAACGTGACGAGCTCCAGCAAGAAGTCAACGCAGACATTTCTCTCGATGTGGCTGGTCTGGAAGAAGCGCTAGCCGAGCTTGAGGATAAGCTCAGGCGGACGGCGGACCAGTTTGAACCCATTATACGGCGTCAGGACGCAGTTGCTCTTGAGATCACGAACTTCACGCACGAATTGGACAAGGTCAAAGAAGCCGTGTCGGATTTTGACTTGCACAAGACGAAGGCACGTGAGGATGTGATGAACGCAGGGGAAGAGCGTACGCGAGCAATGCGCGATCTGGAGTACTGGGAATCAAAGTTGGCAGAGGAGAAGCTGAAGCTGCAGGGTTGTAAGCAAGGCGTGGAAGGGTTGCGAGAGGAACTTGGAAATGATATCGCCGAGGCCACAAACCGCTGTGCTCGGGTCGATACCTCTCGTGAGCCAAGGTTCATAGAGAGGGAGATTGCGGCCATGGAGAGGGCACTTGATGCGCGCGAAAGGCGCGGCGCAGCATCGGTCGAGGATGTTCAGGCCGAGGTTGACCGTACTCGGGCAGCCCTTCACACGCTTACTCAGGATCTCGCAGATCTAGATGCGCTCACAAAGGTACATCTCTCACGTTCTTTCTGTGGATCCTTATCGTTGGTATGTAGGCTTACTATCGACTGCAGATCCTGCAAAAGTGCGTTCAGAGACGCAAGGTTAGATGGATGCGCTTTCGCGCACATATGGCCTTTCGATGCAAGAACTTGTTCCAAGACCATCTCGCCAGTCGCGGCTACTCTGGATTCCTCGAACTGGACCATGAGAATCACGCCTTGATCCTCAAAGTCCGGACAGAGCGTAACGCGTCGACGCAAGATGACCAGGTTCAAGCTCGTGACACTCGCGCGCTCAGCGGAGGAGAGAAGAGCTTCACTACTACCTGCCTCCTCCTCGCCATGTAAAATACCATCAGCAGTCCTATACGTTGCCTCGACGAGTTCGACGTCTATATGGATGATGTGACCCGGCGCGTGGCGTGTAAGATGATCGTACGGCAGCCGCATCTTAGCAATCCATATTGTTGCTGACGGGCTTTCAGATCGATGCAGCCAACGCAAGTGGAAACGAGCAGTACGTCTTCATCACGCCGAAGGGCATGGACAACATCCATATCGGGAATACTGTACGTGTCCATCGGATGCGAGACCCTGAACGTTCACAGGGCACTCTCGCCTTCGGGAACTCGGTCGCTGCATAGACTAGTCATTCGAGTACTTCCTACCCCGTGTCCATTTCTAGCGACGGCGACACATATTCTACCTCGCGATCTCTCAGTACGCCTCATCTACCAACTATTGTGCATCTGGAGTCACCTATGGTTCATCATGGTCCCGATTTGATGTCTTGTACCGAAGTTACGCTTTCGAGCGGTGTTTGTACGCATCCAATGTATTCACCACGCTATCTCATTACATCAATAGTATACGACGCAATCATATTCACAATCTATTGCCGGACTATTCATTGATATCCGTCGTACTGTATTCTCGTTATCGTTCCGGTCGGGCATACTGGCGCGGCGTACGCCCTTCATCATGCGACTTTAGCTCTGAAGGATAAGGTTGGCGAGGACAGGTTCTAGAGGTGGGTTCCTTTCGTGCATTTTGGCGTGTAGAGTATGATGTCGGACTTTGGATATGTTCACTATGTCTTTGCGCTCGTGATCTGTTTGTTTGCCTATAGTCGGCCATGTTACTTACTGCAGACCCAGCGCATTCGATCATGATCTCTTTGATTAATCACGGAACATGCGTCTACACCGATGATTGATCCGCCTTCTGCGCTTGAACACCGTCAGCGTCAGACAACTCCCCATACCCCTTCGCAATCCCACCACGGCCCTGCTCGAGCACAGACAGCGCATCCATCCCACTTCGTACCTCAAGCCCCTTCCAATGCCTCCTTTGCAAGAATGCGCCGGCCGCACTGTCCTTGAGCGTCGCGACAGTGCCTTCTGAGCGCAGGACAAGTTCTTGGCTTGCCTCGTCAACGTGAGCTGCTTCCGTATCTGGGCGCAGCTTCCATGAGTATGAGCAGCGCAGGAGTGTGGCGGCTGAACGTACCGTGATAGCGCGTGGCGGTGCGGTACTTGCCTGTTACGAGCGAAAAGCTGGGCGCATCCGGATCTCGCTCTTCTTCGTCCGCACTCGATGAACCGGTCTCTGCTGGCTCTGTCGCTCCGGGAGAGTCTGAGAGTATGCGCCCGAAGTCAAGCTCGTATCTTGTGCCCCACGAAGGTTCACGAGCAAGCGCGATGGTCAGCTCGTAGGGCGTGACAATCGGCCGGTAGAACTCCTGTGGATGATCAATTGGCACCAACTTGCAGCTCGAGAGGACAGATAAGCGTACCTTTGCGTCTATGACACTGTTCTCCGGACATGCGACGAGCACAAAACACTCAATCTCGGCGAAGTTGGCCAGTTTGGCCGGGTTGAGTTTGCCAACGGAGACCGTATACGACTTTTTGTGTGCTGCGGCGAGGATGGAGCGGAGATGCTTGATCAGAGGAAGGTACGATGCTGAGACAGTGGTCAGATATCACGCCAGGTGTAGAAAGGAACAATGAAGGTAGCGCACCAACGCCGAGCGTGCCGACCAGGATGCCGAACACGTCTGCATCGCGCGCCCGTTGCACTACGGCATAACGACGCATGAGCAGCTTGTTCGTCCTTCCTGATTCGAGAGATGCTGTTCTAGTTGATGGGTCGTATCGGTATATCTAGACAACCGTCAGGCTGGGTTCCGCGCCGTGTGTCGAAGTTGGAGCGTACCGGGGCTGCGGCATGCGTCATGAGAAGATTAGTTAGGCCGAGGCTCTCTGGTCCAACATAGAGTATAGGCTCAGAAACTTCGGATGTTGACGGTAATGGTGTAGATGAGGCCTCTGGTTGAGAGGATGCAGGCTCTAGGCGATTGGGGATCTCGTGGTAAAGCACTTCTATTCCAGGAGATAGCGCCTCGTCCAGTGCATCTCGTATTGCGCCTGTCGGCGATATTAGATATGTACCTAAGACAGACATTGAGCATGTGCTGACCTGCCAAGTGTATGTAGGCGACGTCATGTCTGAGAACGACTCGTTGAGGAAGATCGCCATGGCCACCATCTTTGAGCGCCTTGACAAGCTGTTGCGCAGCGTCGGTTGGATTGAGATCTTTCTTGCCAAATACGTATATCACGGGCATTCGGTAGGTTCTGCGTTGGTTCGTTGACTCATTAGCAGCCTGTACAAGGTCTTGACCGCATCAAAAGACGTACTTGCTCATGCATGCGTGTCCAAAATGTACGATGGCTTCGGCATCTACGTGCTGCGCAGCGACCTCATCTGCACAACAGCTATAGAAGGCAGAGATTGATAAGTGGCCAGTGCGTGCGCGATGGAGAAACCTACCTACCATATGAGGTATCTGCGAGAACATAAAGTTCGCGATCTTCGGATAGCTTGCGCTTGAGGGAGCGATAGATCGGGACCGACTCGGGTAGTAGTTCATCTGGAAACTGTAATGCGGTCTAGTGCATGAACGCGTCTAAGTGCACTTCCTCCCAACATTACTCTCGCGCGACGCACGCGTTTGAAGCCTCCTGAGTTGATCTCGGAGGCTACACGGTCAAGTTCGTAGAAAGCAGCGAATTCTTCAGGAGATAAATCGCGTGCAGGTGCAACCTCAGTCTCGTTCAGTTCAACAGGGCGCGTCATAGCATCCTCGCCAGACGAGGAGAATGCGGTATTTTCGGCCATAGACCACGCAGAGAAAGATGACGGCAGGAACAGAAGAGCGCGTCGTGAGAATTTCCGTGCTTCGCGTGTCAGCGCATGTCTCGCGCGTGCGGCGCGGCGCGGCGGCACGAATATTCATCACTTTCCGTCTACCGTCCACGACGTCGACCATGGCCCCTCCATCCCCGCCGCCCGCACCTGACGCCGACTCGGTCCTCGACCGTCTCCAGAGCTTTGTCTCGGATAATAAGCGCGCGCTTCTCATTGGCGCGGCTGCTGCGGCCGTCGCGGCCGGCGCTGCCGTGTACTACGCCAGCGCATCCCAGCCGGGTGCGGGCGACAGTAAGCGGAGGAAGGAGAAGAAGCCGAAGAAGTCAAAGAAGTTTGGCGAGGACGGTGGTCCCATTCTTGAGGAGCGCGAGCCCAAGAAAGGTACTCCCAGCGTTGTATCTGTCGAGAGCGAGGCGGGTGCGTGCAATATGTCATGTGTTCTGGATAATATACAGGCAGGCTAACGCGTGTTTCGTACAGAGGAACTGTCGGCCGAGCAGATCCAGGGTCTGTCAGATGAGGTTAGTTAGTTTGTTCTACGTTTCGGGTTGTTTCGGGGATGATTTGAACTGGTCGTGTGTTTACCGGATGTGGCGCCTGTTCTTGACTTGAACATAACTGCTGTCAAGCCCGAATGGGTACCGCTCATACCGGTTACGGGCGCCAGCTCAACCGCTAAGATACTATTCCTGGCTCTGTTACACCCAGTGGAGCCTAATCTGTTACATCTGCCTCTATCCATCCGCACGCCCAGAACAGTGTTGACATCGCCCACAGGAGCGTGCCAAGTACGCTGCCGACTTCAAGTTGAAGGGCAATAAGGCCTACCAACGACGCGACTTCAAAGCCGCTATTGACTTGTATACCCGCGCCATTGCCGTCTCGCCCAAGCCCGACGCAGTCTACTACTCCAACCGTGCCGCATGCTACGTCAACTTAACACCTCCCGACCACGAAAAGGTTGTTGCCGACTGCGACTCCGCTCTTGCACTGGACCGCAACTATGTGAAGGCGTTAAACCGTCGTGCAACTGCGCTTGAGGGCCTCAACCGCAATGAGGAGGCTCTGCGCGACTACACGGCTGCCACCATCTTGGACAAGTTCACCAATGAGCAAGCTGGACAGAGCGTTGAGCGTGTGCTCAAGAAGATTGCGACGGACAAGGCTGCGGAGATTATGCAGGTCGGTTGCTCCACGATGTATACGAGGACTATAGCTGACCTTGATAAAGACCAGGGAACGCAAGCTTCCCTCCTTCACCTTCGTTTCTGCCTACTTCGCCGCTTTCCGTCCTCGTACGTTTGCGCCATTGTGTACTAGCGTCCACGCAGCTGACTTCTCTATAGGCCCGCCACTTCTTGTTCCCGAGACACCATCGACGGGCGACAACACCCTTGTACTTGCCCTCGACGCGTTGAATGCATCCGACTACATCCACTCGCTCACCCTCGTCAACGAGGCGATCGAGCAGGGTTGCTCCACGGATGTCCTCACCGCCGAAGCTCTCAACTTGCGCGGTACCTTCAAGTTCTTGACAGGCGACACCGACGGCGCACGCGCCGACCTCGAGAAGTCCGTCGAGCTCAACCCCGCAAACACACAAAGCTGGGTCAAGCTCGCGAGCGTGCACATGGAGCAAGGCGAGCCGCCCAAGGCCTTCGAGTGCTTCGAGAAGGCTGCCCAGGAGAACGCCGATGACCCCGACATCTACTACCACCGCGGTCAGGTTCTGTTCATCATGAACGAGTTCGCCAACGCTGCCGAGGACTACACCCGCTCGAGCTCGCTGGACGACTCCTTCGTGTTCAGCCACATCCAGCTTGCAGTTGCGCAGTACAAGCAGGGCGATCTCGCGAAGTCTATGGCTACGTTCCGCAGGACACTCAAGGCGTTCCCTGACCGGTCGGAGCCGCAGAATTACTACGGCGAGCTGTTGCTCGACCAGGGTCGCTTCCAGGATGCTGTCGAGAAGTTCGACCGTGCTATTGAGATCGAACGCACAAAGTATGTTCACATTTTCATGAGCACGCGAGCTTTATACTGATGATGACGTCAGAACGCCCATGAACGTCCTCCCGCTCGTCAACAAGGGCCTCGCGCTCTTTCAATGGCAACAAGATGCCGCCGCCGCCGAGCGTTGCTGCAGCGAGGCTCTCAGCATCGACGATGCATGCGAGGCCGCGGTTGCAACGCTCGCTCAGCTGAGCTTGCAGCAGGGCAAGATCGACGAGGCCGTGCGCATGTTCGAGCGCAACGCCCAGCTCGCACGGAACGAGGCCGAGCTCGTCAATGCGCTCACGTACCAGTATGCAAGCTATGCTCAGGTCGAGTTCATGAAGCACTACCCGGAGATGGCGAGTCAGTTGGGGCAGATGGCGAGGCAGATGGTTTGAGCGATCGGGGTAGAGGGGAGGGGATCTGATCGGTTTTGATACTATAAAGACCTGCTTGATTAATAGCTATATGCAGCCCACTCACATATTATTGCCGATGCCGCTGTGACCGCTTCAAGCTGTTGATGCTGCGGGGACCTCGTGGATGCCCCGCAGGGCTACGTGGTCGTGTCTTGCCGCATGTTGAACACGATGCGCTCTGCGATTACGATCTCATTTCTTGCTTCCCGCCTCCCGCTTCTCACTTTCTACCCACCACGAGCTATCTTACGTCTAAACAGCTTCCCTAAGCGCCGATGGCGCCCTCCGCAAGCCAAGTCGTTAAACCAAAGGTATATATCGCCGGCATGATGCTGTCCAGACCATTCGCTTATACCCTATCTGCAGAACGACAGTCTCCCGATGCCAGGACTCCCTGCTGAGACGATCGCCAACATATTCCTCTACCTGTCCGATGCGAGCCGCCAGCATCTCTTCAAAGCGCGCGCAGTGTCCAAAGGCTGGATGAAGTTCATTGACGCTACACCCATCCTCTGGACGCCTATATCGACACATCTCGGGTCGGAGATGGTGAGCCGCGCCGTCGAAAGATCTGGATCTTTACCTCTGGATGTCGATATTGGCATCTATCCCAGAAGGGAGCTTTCTACGCCGGATGCCACGGTCGCGGACCAGATCTCTGCCGCAGGCGTGCTTGAGCAACTCTGGCGCATCCGCACCCTGGAGGTCGATTTATTAGATCTTGAAGGTGTGAGCACAGAACGGGCTCATCATCTTCTGAATGAAAACGCCGCGCCTATTCTGGAGCAGCTTCGTATCGTTGGCACCGAGACGGACGAGATGGTCCCAGTGGCCCTGGATCAAAAGTTCTTCGGGAGCTCCATCCCACCTCTTCTACGCGACTTGCAGATCACTATATGCGCTGTCTCGCTACACTGTCCCTTACTTCACGCGTCGACGTTGGTCAGCGTTCGTATCGATGAGTGCAGAGTATGGGGCTCTGTTGAGAAGGTCCTGGATTCTCTCTCCTCGTGGCCGCTGCTCGAGACGTTCGTTTGGATGTCGCCCGAAGGGGGCGTGGACGATTGGAACGACCAGTTCATCGGGGACTTTGCCATAACACGCATGCCAAAGTCGGAGTGGAAGGGTGTGCGTGTGCGCTTGCCTCGTCTGAAGACCCTCAAGCTGCGCCATGAGCCGGCCCCCATCCTCACCATCTTCTCCCGACTTCATTTCCCCACGTCGTGCGACATTGATCTGACATTCTTTGTCGAAACCATCGAGACGGAGAAAGACGAAGACCGTATGCGAGATGCTCTAGACCATACGCTAGGAGCCTACCTCGGCAACGTCTTTAGCGACGGGGAAGGGTTCGCTACGATCGCCGTTGAGACCCCTCGCGATGCGGATGCCCTTCCGTACGAACCCTTCCATGGAGTGGCCATAACGTGGACGGACCCTTCCAGCTCGCCCGCGCCTGTGGGTCTGAAGACCACTTTCTACCGCAACGAGAACTCTGCCCGGTGCAACGAGCTACCTCTAGCCGAGCATCTGATGAAATGGCCGCAAACATCGTCGTACCTTACGGGGGTCAATCTCGGACCCATGGACTTCCTTTACAACCATGAGGAAGAACAGGAGTATGTACGAAGAACGTTCGATAGCGACTGGCACAGGCTACTCGCTCTCTTCAAGAGCATCGAATATCTTTGCATTCGCAAGGACGAGGGTCTCTCCTGGCTATTCCAGGTGCTCAACCGCGAGCGGTCTGTCCTGCCCCAGATGAAATCACTATATCTCGAGGAGACACACGTTGATGAGCTTACGACATTGGTCTCTATGGCGAGGCGGAGGATGGAGGAATATTCGCTATCCCCGAATCCCCGATGCACATCACTCTGCGGAGGTGCACCATCGACTTCGGCGAGCTGGTCCCTCTCATGGAGATAGACATGACGCCCTGAACAACCCCTTTTTTGCCTGATTTCATGTTCCTGGTCCCATTTGGGAACAGGTTTTCAAGTGTCACTCAAATTTTGGCACTG